CTAAGGGTTCCAGGGTCCCAGCGGCACATACCTATATAGCCCATATATGGCAGTGCCCCCCCCCGGGGGGTTATCTCAGGTAGAAACTATGAAATTGCCTCACATACAAGTTGAACTATATAAATTTGTAAGAAAAATGTGGTAACCAGCAATAAGGGCTATTGAAATGTGGGACTCTTAACTACTGTAGCTGAACTCAAGGAGAAGCATTCAGACCAAAAACATCTGCGATATCCTGGAGAAAGTGACGTAAAAATCAAATGGGAAGGAAGTCAAGAGAAGCTAGATTACAGGGTAATGGAAAATGGATCAAACTTGAGTGGTGGCGAAGACAGTTAATCTACTTCAAGACAAGAAAACTGTTGTTTTTCATAAAGCGATGACCAACATAAACCCTTTTCATGAATGTCTGCCAATTTTCAATTCGTTTGTGTGCATTAAAATTAGCCTTACTGACCTTGTTTGAGTCTAATTTCTTTTGAATTATCAACTTAAAAATGAGGCCAGTAAGGCTAATTTTAATGCTCATAAAAGAATATATAATAAGCAGCCATTTCTTCAAAAAGGAACTAAGAAAAATGGACAATTTTAACAATTGCCCTAAGATTAGACCCAATCTTGGATTATGACAGAATCATTGTTGTGATTGATGAAAGTCAGATCATTGAAGGTCGGAGTCCACAGTCCCTGCTGAACAACAAGGATGAAAAATTCCACCGACTTAATAAACGTATTATTTATCAATTAAGGAGCTCATGAGAAAGATGAGTGTAGTGTCATAGGATGCTTTGCATGAATTTGTTAGTTTTATTTTATTTCAATTGAATCACTTGGCTATTTGCTGCATTTTTTTTAAATGATTACGTTCTTATGTTATAGATGTTAAGAGAGATGCCAGATAAGTAGATAAAATTAGTTTGAAGAAGAGATAACCATGTGTTGATTTACTCAATCCAATTGACAAATAATACTTTAGTATGATAGCTAGCTTCATTATTATAAAATAATGATGTGAAACTAGAACTGTGAGAAACACATGAGATCTATATGTAACTTGGTATACATGGAAGGTATACATGGAATAGGGGCATAGAAGAAAACAAGAACTGGTGCAAAAAAAAAGAAAAAAGAAACATTTCATCTACAAAAAAGTACGTTTTTGAAAAGTAAGACCTGAAAAAACAGTTAGCTTTTGTCTCCACTCTCATCATCTGAAGAAGAATCATAGGCAGAAACAAGTGAAAAGCTTCCTTCATTTTTCTTCCCACCAGTTACCGCCATGCCTATGTGTTTTGAGTGTGGTGATTCAGTTGTTCTGTTGAGTGAAGCCTGCTCTTTTGACCATTTAATAAGATCAGACAGAGTTTTTGGCTGTGAGTCGCTGGCCGTTCTATAACTCATCATGGCAGGGGACTGAGGTACCTGAGTATCAGATTTGATATTAACTCCTGAATACTGATTATCAGTGTCTGGATAGTAACCTACTGCCTCTCCATTATTTTCTAAGTCACGATCCGGATACCGACGCTTCTGTGGAGGGAGATGGCCTTCCAGCACATCACCTTGGTTACTTAGAGGCCCATCATAGTCCTGTAATATTGCAGTAGCAAGCTTTTCTTTGCTACTTTCCACTTTCCGTTTCTGAATCCAAGGGTTGGGATCATCTGTAGCCCACCTTACATTCAAAATCTCATTGTTCTCCAGAGCTTGATTCTGCATGGCTTCTTTGGCAAATTCCGCATTTGAACGGTTTCTGTAGCGTACAAAAGCCACACCTTTTGAATGCAACACCCTGACGTTATCAATCTCTCCCCACTCTATAAAGTGCTTATAAACAACGGATTGGAGGTCAGACGTCACGGATATCCCGCCAACATAAAGAGTTCTCGCTGTCTGCGGGTCAGCTGAAAAAGAACCCACACCACTCTGGTCGTCTCTAACATGCTCGTGCTTTTCTCGACCAAAGCAGTCTTTCGTTGTTTCTAAATTTGATTCGAACTCGTCCGAAGGTAAAGTGTGAATCCAGGAACAATCGTATCCAAACGGGCAACAACCCCTGGCAAATTTTAAGCAAATGAATGTCCCATCCCATTGTCTTGTACTGCCTTTGGTGATTCCACTATCTTTTGCTATATTACATCGAGTAGTAGCTTGAGTTTTTTCTCTAGAATGACATCTTTCTCCTGCATTCTTGTTATACCAAATGTTGTACGTCGTCCCGCGTGAATTCTCGGATTTTTGCGGACCGACCGGCTGGGAAAGTTGCTTTCTTGCTTTCTTTGTTGTGCTCGCAGCCGCCATCTTGTTTCTTACCGTGAAAGGACTGGGAAAGAGACTAGCGCCAAGCCTTTGCCCACTCTGCGGTCGATTTGAAAAGACATCAAGAAGAAATGAGCGAGAGATAATTTACTGCAGCAGAACAGCCCCTTATAACCTTATGAGCAGTTTAAGATCAAAGGTAAGAATGTTTAACTATCCTCTTGAGTATACTAGTTTGAACCTGATGATGTTTAAAAAGAAATGACATGTAATTTTATCCATTCCAATAGAGCTTATTAAGGCATGCAAGAACCAAGCATAGGAGTCCAAATGAAGTTCTAGCTTAAATTTGCCCCGAGTTTTTTTGTTGGAAAGAAACTCAAGGTGGTGTATTTTTATTTGTTACTGCAAAATAATCTAAAATGGTGAATCACAAAAGGAAATATATTGAAGGTCATTGACACCACCAGGCTAAGTCATTTTCTGCATTTTCGATCATTGAACAAATTGACGTCAGTTTTCATGCGTCTGTTGTGTTATTGATCAGGAGTTTCGTCATAACATTATCAAAATAGCTGTAGATCCACGAGGTGATAGCGTACATCCGCAGACTACTCTGACAATGTTATAATGAAATTCATTGTCAATAACAGTACAGACGCATGAAAAAGTGATGTCAGTTTGTTTTTTTTACAATATCAAATTGCCAAATTGTCTGCTTTCGCTCGTTGCCGCATCGCATAAATTATAAATTCATGTGCCTGCCCGCTTGTTGACAATGAAGTTAGCCAATGAGTGTGCAAGAATTTCTGCAATTATCGTCAAAAGACCATTTTACAGTTGTCTGTTCAGTGACCTGGCCTTTGAATGGCAGTGAGGCTGGAGGTGACCATGTTTTGATAAAGACCTCACTGTGTTTGTTGTGTAAATTAAGTTGTTCTTATGCTAACTAGCTTGCATTAAAAATGACAAAAGCAGAGAGGTTTGTATCAAAGCAAGGTCACCTCCAGCCTCGCTTGCATTTATAGGCCAGGTAACTGAAAAAAAAACTGTAAAATGGCCTATTAACAATACACCTAGGAAAAACACAGGGGGAGGACTTCCATATTGAAAGGTCAGGGATGCTCATCAGAAAATTTGAGTTAAACCCTCAAAGGAGACCAATCTGGGTGAATTGACTTGAGCTTTATTTGGCCCCTAAGATACCACTCCAGAAGGAAATGAAAGCATTTTTTGTTACTATTATTAGTTGTGCACCCTAAAAGATACTATGATGGTTAAAAATAGTGGCAGTTCATCCTGAACACCTTAAGTGAGACCAAAATCCTTGAATTACACCCCTACATGAACATGAACAAGACAATGAACATCCCTAGCCTAAACTTTTCATGTGGCAGTTCCCCTGCCCCTGGCCATAAACCACCATGCAGGTGGAGAAATTGTACAAAACCAGTCCAAACAGCTTCCAGTTACCTAGTTACACCATGCATAAATAAAGATTTTATTGTAGTAATTATTATTTGGAGGTGGTAATTAGGGTACTTGAACCATGTTATAAACCAAGTTTAAAACCCTGACCCTATTAGGACAAAGAAAACATAAGTAAAGTGCCTATCCTATGTAGGACAGAACCCTCTGCTTAGACCCAGACTAAGGATTGGTTGAGATTAAAGGACACACCCAACCGCATAATTATTAGCTTTCTTGTTTTGAAAATTATCTGACATTGACTGATGACCTTCTTAAAATACTGGTAGGTAAATGTATTTGAACTTAGATTAACGAACCTTCATGTTTCTGTAAATAAATATACAGTCACTATTTTTCAAATTTAAGGGCGAGGGGAAGGCATGGGCATTTTATGGTACAACACAATGTGATATTGATAACCATTGTGGGATTAGACTGAGGTAGCATTGTCAAGGGGATATTTGAAAATCACAGTCTTCTATTTCAGGCTTATTTTACATACACAGAGATGTGAATTAAAATGCCAAAAATATTTGAGTCAGTATTTGAGGACAAATTGCCATCTTGTAATGCACCAACTCTTGTAGGTTTTAATAACAAGTAAGCCTAACGAAATAGTCAGTGCAAAATGACAAAGATGCGAACATATGATATCTGAAAGCCAGTGGTATTTGTTTGCTTAATTTTTTTAAATGTACATATTCAAACACAACTTACAAACATGCTTCTAACATTTTAAAAATGCTAGTACTAGTATATATTGTTAGCAGGGCAAAACTTTAAACTGGCTATTACATGTGGGTGGGAGAATTGCAGGCCTGTCAACCCCATTGTTATCACTGAATAAAATTTACAACAACATACTTGGCCATTCTCAAAGCCAGTGATGCAATGTTTCAATTTAAGCCTGAACTGGTGGTTTTGTGCACCATGCAAAACCTGGCATGGTATTGCTTAGTACAAGGGCTTTGGTGAAAGTTTTGGTCTAGCTGCAGCCTGAAATCAAAGTTTTCATTTTGCTTCAGATATCGCCATTTGAGTTTTAATGTTTACGCCTTCTTACTTTTGGTTTGTTCACCTAACTTTCTCATGTCTCTAGGTGTTGTCCTGTTACCGATTACTTCACAGGGTCAACCCGCTTGGTCTGGCTACAGGCCTGAGATCAAAGTTTTCATTTTGCTTCAGATATCGCCATTTGTGTTTTAATATTTACGCCTTCTCACTTTTGGTTTGTCTACCTAACTTTCTTATCTCTCTAGGTGTTGTCCTGTTACCGATCACTTCATAGGACGCGGCTAAAAGTTTTTAAAGATGACATTCTTGCCTTGGAGGCTGGAAAAGAGAGGATAAGAAATGAGTTCTTGAAGCACAAAAGTGAGACTGATCCATCAAAAATTGCTGAACTTATTTCTATGGCAGAAAGTGCTGAGAAATTTCTCAGGCATAATGTTGTGCAAGGAGTACAGACTGACAGAAGTACTTTCCGTTTGAGGATTACAGAGGATACCCAACTTCAAGACAATGCCAAACGTCCTTACAAGGAAGACAAGTGAATATAAACCAACCTGCAGTTCCACTGCTATGAGTGAAACATTCCAAGAAGAGTGAAGTGAAGCTGTGATCATGATCTATGCACTGCACATGAAGTTTAGGAATGTGATCAGAATTTCTTAACATGAAGATTTAAGTCTAAGAAATTATTTGAGAAGTTTTGTAATGTAAAGTTCAAATGTGAGTTAGAGCCTTGGTCTTGTGAAGGTGTGGTAAAGATGTTATAAGAGGAGCAGAGTGAAGCTTGCAATCAAGATCTATGTACTGCATATGAAGTTTAAGAAATTCATCAAATTTTCTTAATGTCAAGATTTCAATCTCAGAAATTATTTGAGAAGGTTACACCGTGCATAACTCAAATCAGATTCTTTACATATGTGTTAGAGTCTCTGTCTTACAAAGTTTCACAAAAGATGAATTTTCTATGTGTAGTCTTTCCTCAATGCAAGAAAAAAGTTTGTTTTTTTCTTAGTTATTTGCACGTGGTGTTCTTAATAGGAATATATTTTGACTGAGACTTTTTCCGCCATCATTTTCCCTTGAAAACACCAAGCCACCTCAAGATATTTTTCCCCACTGTATTGTCTCTTAGTTTTTCTAGGGAGAGGGGAGGTTAGCTCCTTATCTTGGGAACACCGTTTTGATGGAAATTTCATCAAGGAAATTCTTGCCCGTAAGGAAATCTTAGTCTTAGGCCATTTCCTGTTCATAAATAGCTGAGCCGAACAAAATTCGCGGCAACTTTTAATAATAATAATAATAATAATAATAATAATAATAATAATAATAATAATAATAATAAGGG